CCGCTATTGGGATTTCACCAAACGACTACGAAGAGGGCCAGCGGACGCTGTAGAGTCTACAGTGTCGTGTGTAGACTATGGACGACTAATTTTCATTACTTTATGCTACGTGCCCTCTTTTCCTATTCAACTTCTATCTCTTTACCGACTCGGCTCGACTTTAGCGACCGATTCGCTCGAGAGTAAAACCGACAATGAGGTTGTTTTAGTGCGTTCAATATTTTCTTTATACCACATAGTCTAGCTTTCACCACACCAATGCTTCATTTTTATTGACAAAATATGAAACTAGCACTATATAACGTTGAACTTCCACGATAAATACAAGTATATTTTTTTAAGAGAAACTCGGAAAACGTTTTCTCTGCATATTAATTACAGATGGTGAGACGTATTGTCAAAAGTGTCGCAGCCGTCATACAATAAAATTGTCACTTCGACATTATATCACCGGGTGGGTTGCGCCATTCTCGCTTTAAATTATGTCTTTAGACTCCGGTCATCAGTTGAGACTAGGTAAACTGGTCAGTCTATCTAGTTCGTAGATTTATTAAAAATTAGCCTACTTCTCTTGAAATATATAGTCTTAGAGCCTCTCTTCTTGACCTCTAAGCAATAATATATTTATTACTAGCTAACCCGGCAGACTTCATTTTGCCTCAATCGATAAATAAAAGACCTAAACTTTTGTGTAAAATAAACTTAAAACAAACAAAAGGAATCCGTCCGACAGGGGACATATCGAAAGCAAAACAAAATTGTTTTTTTAATATAATTCCGAGCATTTTCATATTTATTCACCTTTTAACCTTCTCTGAACTTCCACAAATAATTCAAGACCTAGCAAGAGCAGTGCTTCGCAGAATCTACCACCGGATCGGAAACGCGACCCACTGAGAAAATCCGGCGAGAAACTTAGTGGGCAAAAAGCGTTGTGTGTACTTATTACAATGAAGATATTTACAATAAATATTCCCCTAGTGTTGTTGAAATCAGTTATGTTTTGTTTTCAATGTTTGCTTGTCGTTTGCATACTTCTTTGTTCGAGCGTGACGCTGACGGTACTTAAAGAAAATTGACGAAAATTTTACATTTTTATTACGATTATTAGACTTAGCGCTGGTAATCTGTTTCTATTTTATCTCACTACAATAGTGAAAGCCAAACGAAAGTCAAGAAATTAACGGGTTAAAAAAAACCGGGACACACCTAAGTATAGGTACTTAGTCTGACCATAAATACTGTTACAATTAAAAATAAACAAAATATTACATTTGAATTTGGAATCTGTCATTTTTATATGATTGCTCATTGAGTTTTCTCATTTTGGCGCCAATACATTGTACAATATTTTGCGATATTAAAATGGAATGGGGTGATAAAGAGAACCGAATCGCTGTTATTACATTACACAAAGTAGGTATGGAGCCAAATGGAATTTTTAAAACTCTCCATACGCTTGGTATATGTAAAATGTTTGTGTAACGGGCTATTAATAGGTGCAATGAGACCTCCTCTGTTTGCGACAGAAAAAGATCTGGCCGTCCGTGCAGTGTTCGTACGAAAAAGGTGGTCAAAGCAGTAAGGGAAAGAATTCGAAGAAATCCTGGCCGATAGCAAACGATTTTATCTCGGGAGATGAAGATAGCACCTAGAACCATGTCGCGTATTTTAAAAAATTACTTAGTACTTGCAGCCTATAAGAGACGTACTGGTCATTTGTTAACTGATAATTTAAAAGAGAATAGGGTGGTAAAATCGAAACAACTACTGAAGCGGTACGCAAAGGGAGGTCATAGAAAAATTTTGTTTACGGATGAGAAATTTTTTACAATTGAGCAATATTTTAACAAACGAAATGACCGTATTTATGCTCAAAGCTCTAAGGAAGGTTCCCAATTAGTCGACAGAGTGCAACGTGGGCACTATCCGACTTCAGTGATGGTTTGGTTGGGTATTAGTTACGAAGGAGTGACTGGGCCATACTTTTGTGAAAAAAGTATCAAAACATCGGCACAAGTGTATCAAGATACCATTCTTGAGAAGCTAGTGAAGCCCCTTAACAACACCATGTTCAATACTCAAGAATGGTTCTTCCAGCAAGATTCGGCGCCAGGTCATAAAGCTCGATCTACGCAGTCTTGGTTGGAAACGAACGTTTCGAACTTCATCAGAGCTGAAGACTGGCCGTCGTCAAGTCCCGATCTTAATCCGCTGGATTATGATTTATGGTCAGTTTTAGAGAGTACGGCTTGCTCTAAACGCCATGAAAATTTGGAGTCCCTAAAACAATCCGTACGATTGGCAGTGAACATTTTTCCCATGGAAAGAGTGCGTGCGTATTCTATTGATAACTGGCCTCAACGTTTAAAGGACTGTATTGCAGCCAATGGAAACCACTTCGAATAAGCTTTTTATACTTTAAATTGTTTTATATTTATGTATTAAACTAACACACTGTAAAAGTAATAAATGTTATTTGCCATAGAATTTGCCTTAGAATTAGATGATTGTTTGGTTTGTTCTAAATATGATTACATTTATCATTTATATCAATACTATATTAGATTCAATTACAAATTGAATTTTTCAAACTGAAATGTTAAATTAAAATACTTTGTCATGTCAACTCATAAATCAATAATTTGCCTCTTTGAAGAGAAATTTTAACTCTAAAGCTGTTTTATTTACCTGACATTCTGCATCTCCGACATAACAACAATCGCCTGATACCGAGGTGGGTGACCAGAGGTGCTCGCCGCTGATTGCTCCTTCTCCCCAGTCGGGCGTGGACCGGAGAACTCGAGCACCAACCGCTTCGCCAGGCCGTCTGTCCACAAAATTATTCAATTTTAAGACACAGCTGATATCTTATGTGATAAGTTACCTCGACCAACGTTATTATTCCAAGCAGAGTTTATTATTACGTAGAGATAATTTTAATAAGAATTTATAAATTAAAGTTACTTAANTGATTGCTCCTTCTCCCCAGTCGGGCGTGGACCGGAGAACTCGAGCACCAACCGCTTCGCCAGGCCGTCTGTCCACAAAATTATTCAATTTTAAGACACAGCTGATATCTTATGTGATAAGTTACCTCGACCAACGTTATTATTCCAAGCAGAGTTTATTATTACGTAGAGATAATTTTAATAAGAATTTATAAATTAAAGTTACTTAATATATTATTATTATGTTTAGTCGGTCGGGAGTAAAATCGCTGCATCGTCACCCTACACTTGGAGTAACTATCTTGGCTATAACGTGTACCAATCGAACCCGGACTAAAAGCCCTTCCCGGCTCGACACCAGAGCATCCGAGACAAGGTTGTGCACTCTCGTCGGTCGGTCTTTTGGTCGCCGAATACTCGACCTTCAGCCCTACCGGTTAGGAAGAATTTCTGGAGCCCACTTAGACAATACCGCATGTCTCTTAGAATTATATCGTTGTTTCAAAATCAAACTAGTTGGGAAAGAAGTGTTTTGGCATCACCCACTTACTCTTTTTTCAATGGGTTAAAATGCCCTCTTTGTCTCCGTCGCCATCACAAACCAACAAACCAATACGTCAGATCTGTAGATTAAAATAAATAAATAACAAGAAGTATATGCTTTATTAATATTACTAAGGTACATTATAATTAGTTCAGTGGATGAATAGAACGTTGTCGAACAACGAGCATCGAAAAGGGATTTATTAAACTTTTGTTCATGAAGTAATTTTGATATTTCTCCTGTTACTTTTTGTTTTCTTGTTAATTGTATTATGAGTTAATTAATTGTAAATGTTTGTTAAGGTCCATAAACTAATACCACCTGTTTTATAGGTTGTCGGTCGTATGGTAAAAGAAAGAAATTAAACTGACTAGTACACATTGTCGGGAATTGATTCTGTTATTTTTAAGTATTTTAAGTACCGATTTGTCGGGATCGTTTCGCTTTATCTTTTACTGCATTAATAAGAATACCTCTTTATTGTACTAATGAAAACGCGAATGTAAGTAGCAACTAGTAAGAAAATGCCTTTAATTTTATTTTTTCCGCTTTTTTCCCTCATTCATTTCCTCATCTTATAAGCAAGGCTTAAAGAGAAAAATTTACGGCTGAGCTACTAGTATTACCGCTGTCCGTGTGCTGTCATGAGCATTTTTCATCTGATGGATGGCTCCACGATGGCTCACTGTTCTTATTGAGACTATCAAAATTTATAATAGTAAAGTTAATCAGCAAAATTACTATACTGTAAAACAGTAATGTAAAAATATGTACCTAATTTAACGGACTAAAAACTCGTATCTCATTGTCTCGTATGGACATTTGGAATTTAATTTATGTAAAATTAAACTCTGGTTTTTGTGATTGACTGTTTTATTGTGACGTTTGTGCGTGCCTTGAGTGCAATGGCAAAGAGGTTTTATATCTATGAAATATGTCTAAACGTCGGCGCGAACATCCTCCCCCTCGTTGAAAGGTCAGCTTTCAACCTTGAATATCTTGCGCTGAGGGCAGAGGACAAATACGTATTAGGGGCCGCCGAACGCAGCCTCGTGTTGTTGATATGTCTGCCACTCGAGAAATTCCGNGTTACCTCTGAGAAAGTGTTTTGTATGTTTTATTGAATTAATCGAGATTCACGAGTCAATAAAAAGGCAATGGTCTAGAAAATAATAGTCTATCTATATAATTTGCAGTGATAGTAATGGTCGCGCAGGCACGCATGGGTTGGCACACCACCATTTGAACCACAGTTTGAAAGGTGGAGCAGCCTCTATGCTATGCAAATGAGACCTCGTGCTACAAGCTGAGTGGCGCCATTGATGTAGAAATGTTGAGGGGCTCACTTAAGACCTGTCGGGCCGCACGTCGGCACGCATCCACACAACTTTACTACTACCACGGGCTTTTTTGCTGCCGCACTTTCTTTCTGAATATTTTTTTCTTATTTTCATTAAAAACGGAATAGTTTTAGAAGGTTTGTACCTAACTATTAATGTTAAATATCTTCTCTATGTTTTTTGCTCAATAATTTCGCCTAACATATTTCATTGATCTTAATCATTTCTTAAAATAGATCAGTACTTAGTATGTTATGTCTACTCCTATTAGAAACTCCGCATGAAAAGCAAGACGTTTAAATCAATAGTTCTAAAAAATCGGTACCTACATACATCTAATTTCATGTCACGCGAGATAAGGTGTGGTACATTAAAATTCCGTATGTCACTATTTACATTAAATTATTTACAATTTAAACTTCTGCGTCACTACGACATGCATATACTTTAAGATCAAAATCTACTTCTACGAGTAATTACCATTGCGCTGTTGATAAATATTTGAAAACGTGTTTTTTTATTTGATTTTGACATTTTTCATTTTTTTTCATTGAGTACCGACATTAATTTATTGGACTAGTTCATTGTTGTTAGGCAATCAAATTAAAACGATCCATAAATAATGAATTTGTGTACACATGGACTTCTGTAATCATTTAACACAAAGTGAGATGTAAGCATGATTCCGCGGTTAAGATATGCGCGTAATAAATAGGTATACATAATTTACTGACGTACTTTTTCATAGACTGATTTGATTGATTTTGATTTTAAAACTATCCTAAGATATTTAAACAATAAAACATGTCGCTGCCTGTTTTCTTATAGTGTATATTATTTGTATGCTTTGTTGATTAACTTTATAACCATGTACCTATGCATAGAGTTACTACAACCTAAGTGACCTCGATGACTAACCAGCCAACCAATAAATGAACCATCATATCTTCTTAGTGAACAAATCATTGTGTGGTAATTCTACGAAAATGTTTTTGTTTGCCAATAAAGTAGAATATGTTTGCTGTAACTTGAGAAGTGTATGGGGAAAGTATGATCGAATTGTTAAGATATCACATTTCTGGAGGTAATAACACCGTTATTAAGGTCTATCGTGTCTGAACAGAAGGCATTTCTGTGCAAATTGTACAATAAAAATGGTTTTTTTAAGATTTCACGAGTTTTCGTATAAAGTACCTACCTACCTGAAATATTTGGAACGAGATGGAATAATTAATGAAACTAGAGGTCCCGCAGTAGTCGAAATTCGACTATAATTAATTGGAATTGTAAGTTTGTACACTTTTATGATTGTATTTTATACTTCTATAATCATTAATTTCGCCAAGACTACACTATAAAAAATATTAACCAAGACAAACAATATTTAATCTCAATTTGACAACAGACGTCAAGAACAAAAGTTTGACAATAAATAGTATGCATGCGTGTGTGCGTCAAATATATGGTATGTAGTGTGTGTAGTGTTTTCTTTATTGATTTAACGTATCCTTTATGCATTATTTTAAAAAAAATATTAGCATGGTGCACTTCTTCTCTATATTCTCTATAAGTGTGGAAAATTTCATACTCCTCCGTCCGCGCAATTTTCGTAAAAAGAGATACAAAGTTTTTGCTTCACGTATTAATATATAGATACATTATACCTAAAAATATCAAAAGGTATGCCCCGGTCCTGATCTGTGCTCACATTTAATTTTGAAGTGGTCGTGGCCTAAAGGATAAGACGTCCGGTGCATTCGTGTTGAGCGATGCACCTGTGTTCGAATCCCAAACGGGTACCAATTTTTCTAATGAAATACGTACTCAACAAATGTCCACAATTGACTTTCACGGTGAAGGAATAAAAATCGTGTAATAAAAATCAAGCCCGCAAAATTATAATTTGCGTAATTACTGGTGGTAGGACCTCTTGTGAGTCCGCGCGGGTAGGTACCACCACCCCGCCTATTTCTGCCGTGAAGCAGTAATACTTTTCGGTTTGAAGGGTGGGGCAGCCATTGTTACTATACTTAAAACCTTAGAACTTATATCTCAAGGTGGATGACGCATTTACGTTGTAGATGTTTATGGGCTCCAGTAACCACTTAACACCAGGTGGGCTGTGAGCTCGTTCAACCATCTAAACATAAAAAAAATATATATACATATATATAAAAATATATATACATATATATATACATATATATATATATATATATATATNTCCGTCTCAGTGAGTGAGTCTCTGTCAGTCAGTCAGTCGGTCTGTCGGTATGTGCAACGAAACTGTCGGTTTACCCTGTCATTGTGAAAGTTGTGTGTGTTGAGTTTCAATAATTGTTATTCAAAAAGTTTTATTGACTAAACTGAGTTCAATCGAATACGAGCGATGACGGAACCTACCGCTCAGCCATCCCTGACGCCTGCCGACATATATATATATATATATATATATATACGTCGATAATGCCACCTGCAACTCTGGGAAGTGTCTCAGTAAAAGGGTTAAAATATTGCATGACTATCTCGCTTCTGGGCTGAACGAAGTGAACAGGTTGGTTTTAAGCAGTTACCGGAGCATATAAGTATCTCAACATATACGTACCACGCACATTGACATATGAAATCGAAGTCTCAATTGAATTGTATTACAGTTGTTCCATCCTTTAATAAGTATCGAAACTGGATCGCATTTCGCGACAGAAATAGAGAGAATACTCTTAGTACTGCTACTCGCCCGTGCGGACTTTTAATATGGCAGCAATTATGAGTTACATCCCTTACTTATTTTTCTTTTCTTAGATGGGTTAACAAGCTCACCCCCTGCCCTCAGCCTCTGGTGTTATGTGGTTACCGGAGCCCGTAGACATCTACAACGTAAATGCCGCCACACACCTTGAAATATGAGTTCTAAGGTCTCAGTACAGTACCACGTCTACCCCAGCCTTCAAGCCGAAACGCATTACTCCTTCACGACAGAAATAGGTAGGGTAGT